CAAAGAGGTCCGACTAAGCCACTGCACCAGCCACTGAGCACGCAGCACTGAAAGCCCCAGCTTGCTTTCTCTCAGGTTTAGCTCAAAACCGACCCACCCAAACTCGTCGCCTCCTCTGAACTTATGCCAGGAGAAAGGCAGCCCCATTAGCACAAAGAAATAGATAACTAAGCACACCTTCTCCATGCCGTTCTCACCGACGCGCACCAGCCACAGAATGTCGTCTACGTAGACAAGCATGAAGATGTCTGTTTTCCCCAGCATGTAGAAAGCTGCACGCCCAAGACCAGACATGAGTCGGGACCAATGATACGCGGCACTGGATATCCCGAATGTTCCAACCTTGTTTAGCCATAGCTTGTCTTGACCACCGACTCCAGTCTTGCACGCTTGTAAGCCCCAATCCTCGGGCGCAATCTTAGACAGCCTATGCGCACGTTTCACATCCCCAGTCAATCCAATGCACTGCCCAGACAGCTCTTGCAACACTGTGCGATTCGCCGGCACACGGCGACCGTAGCTGATCTCGCACATGTATGGCCGAATTCACTGCAATGCCATGCGTGCCGTCATGTACCACACGATATGACCCATCCTTTTTCTCAATCGCGCCTAGCGATGCAACAGCCAGCCTATCTCCGAACTTCTTCTGAGCCTCTTGCAGTGTGACCTCGATCATGGCCCCAACGGCTGCCTCTGCTTGAAACTGCTTGTGAACCTCCTGAGCATGCCCCCTTGCCGACAAGTAGTTCTCTCGGTCAACACCGGACGTGCAACTCTCGACATCGTATTTGCGCCACTTCTCCTTCTTCTCGAAGACTGCAGGTACACGGGGCAAGGTGGCACCAGGGCCCAGACGCACGCCTTTTGCAAACGAGACACTGGAAGAAAAGAAGACCCTGCTGTCGGGGTCACCCGAGATACGGAGAAGCTCCTCAATAGCTGCCAGGTAGAAGGGTTGACCTTCTGACTTTTCTCTGACCGGAAGCTTGGCACCAGTGTACTCCAAGGCAGTGAAGAGAAGATCCCGTCCTTCTGCAACGAGACTCGAGCTGAAGGGATTCGCCGTGATCTTGCCCTGCACCAGTTTTGATGCCAGGCTCTTCAAGTCCACGTGTCTGGTCAGGATCTTGAGCAGTTCCTCGCCAAGGCTCTCGGCGAACCCCAGGGAGGGTGTGTCTCGTGCACATCTTCGCCTGCTAGGAAGCCAACGCCCAGGTGAGCATAAGCCAAAGCCATCCCTAAAAGGTTGCTTTTTTCCGAACAGACTCGCTGTTAGAGGAGGCCCGCGGCCCCAATTACCATCGCCCAGCAAAGGCTTTACGTGACCGTCTTCATCTTCATCAGAGCTGACTTCTAAGACATCATCGTTTCGCTGCTGCAGCCACGCACTCTCACCGGTGCGCTCCCATTGCCATTCTTCGGCGGGAAGTGCTTCATCGCTGTCAATACTGCGCTTGCCTGCGGTCTTCAGATTGGCCAGCGTCTTTGGATCGGCCAGGCGCGGGGATGGATCGAAAATCAGGGCGGGTCCCGTGCTGCTCCCGGTCTACACACCGGTACAACCACAATCACTGTGCTTCAGACACACAGCTGCAAGTATGAACATGCCGCACTATCCAGGCACTCCGCACTCCCCAGAGACTCCCTGGCCTAGCCTGCCTCGCAACACACGACAACAACTGCATGCCACCACTCCCGGACACTGCAAAGACATACAAGGACACACCCTAGACAAACCACCCTAGCAAAGATTCTATCGGATCCCTCTTTTCGCCCCTCCGGTTCCCTCCGGTTCGACCCGCCGCCTGCTGGATAAAGCATGGAGCCCAGCCGGCGCTTTTGGGTTCGGGCCGGGATTAGAAGCTTCGCCGATTCGAGCTGCATTCAAATAGTTAAAGTTGCGGCGGAGGGCGCTGAGACAGGCAAAGCAATCGAGAATGCTCACCAAACACAGCCGCCACGACAGGCAAACTGCACTTGTAGAGGATGCACCCTGCGAAATTGGGCGCCCGATTTGATCACAGTCGGCCCGGGTCTTGGATCCATCACCAAGCTCAAAGCTTTGAGCATCCTCATGGAGATGTTCGCCCAGCAAGCCAGGGCATCTTGCGACGCAGTCAGGGGCCCCAGGAACAAGCGGGCACAGCTCCTTACCTCTGGCAACCTCAGGGGATTTACTTGGGCCTTGCGGCCAGCTTGCACCACCGTCGTTGCTCAAGGCTCGTGTGGCGAGCCCAGCACTGAAAGCACAGCAACACACACTGTTGGCGCTCCTACAGGCACCAGTACGATAGGCAGCCTGAGTCTGCAGCCTGTTGTCGAAAACACGCGGGCACTGCACCTTGCCTCTGGCAAACTCCGGCGATTTACTTGGGCCTTTCAGCCGGCTGGTACCTCCGTCGTTGCTAAAGGTTCGTGCAAGCGGCCCTTCGCTGGAATCGTAACACTGTCTGGAAGTGCTGCACACTCTATTGGCGCTCCTACAGGCACCTGTGCAACAGCCAGCCTGAGTTTGCAGCCCGTTGTCGAAAGCATGCGGGCACAGCACCTGGCCTGCAACATCAGGGGATTTACTCTGGCCTTTCGGCCGACTTGCACCACCGTCGTTGCAAAAGGTTCGGGTAAGAGGCCCATCGCCGAAAGCAAGACACTGTCTGGAAATTTTGCGCACATGTTTGGCGCTCCTGCAGGCATTTTCACAAAAGGTGGCCCGAGTGTGCAGCCTATTGCTGAGAGCTTGTGGAGAAAATGGTCCTGGCATTGCAATTGCACTGCCTCATGCTCAAAGACTGGAGGTTTTGCTGCTGGAGTCGACCGGGGTGTGCCGGGCCCACAGCAGCACTTTCTGCAAAGTTGGCGCTCCTTCTGGCACTTGTTGCCGTCACACAACATTCTGCCTGAGTCTGCGGCCCGTTGTTGAGTTGATGCCTGGAAACAGCACGTGGCCCTAGAAACGGGGAAGACAGAACCTGACATTCGCAATCACACTCGAACTCGTAGTCGTTATGCATCTGCACTTCCTGTGGCTGCCCTGCTCCTGCACAAGGGGTGCACTGAGTGGCAAAGCACACGGGTGACCCTAGCTGGGAGAGGGGACTAAACCCAAGCCTCGGGGGAGAGGTTGAGGCAGGCGGTCGGCAGAGGTCGTCGCAGTCGTCCAGCACAGTGCTGTCACGGCGTCGTCCGGTCCGCTCGCTCACCGAGCTCAGCGAGAGCCCATCCTCGGCATTTCCATGGCACGGGCGCTGCGAGGCAGGGTGGAACAGGGGTGCCCCCGCAGGGCAACGAAGTAGGGCAGAGGAGCTCACAATGTGAGATCTTTGCCGTCACAACCGCATTTTGGTCCTTGATCGGATCTTGTTTCGAGCTTTTGGGTAAGCCCGTTTGGGGAGCAAAACCTAATGCACTCACTGATTGCGTTGCCGCCGCCACCATCACGGACCTCAGCAGCCTCACATGCACAGATTGCGCCCACATCTCGCTCAGCAACGGCCGGCCCAGGACGTGCCGTCGCCGCCCTCGAAGACAGCTGCAGCCTGGTGATTTTCAGGTCGCCAACATTGACTGCGGCAGCCTCCTGATAGTCACCTGATGCACAATCGCCACGGCAGGCAACACACTCGCTAGCCCCATTGGCTCCACAGTTGCCAGCACCTTTGCCGACGAGAGCTTCACAAGCACCAGTGGTAACGTTGCCACCCTCAGCTTCAATGCTGCAACCACTGCTGGCAGCAGCAACTGCACAGTCCTCATCTGTGGTGGCCCCACCGCCACCTGTCGCTTCGCCACAAGCACTGATTGCAGCAGCCGCCGCTTCACCGGCCTGGTTGGAACCACAAAGCGGGACAGAAGAAAACACTACGTGAAGTTTTTGCCCTTCAGCGGGTCTTCTTTCGAGCTCAGGGGGAGGCCCGTCACGACTGCATTTTGGTCCTTGATCGGATCTTGTTTCGAGTTTCGAGCTCTTGGCGGGGCCCGTATGGGGAGCAAACCTTAAGCGGCTCACTGTGCACGATCTCGGCAAGGCTGAAGTCACAGCAATCGTCTGCGAAAGCAGTAAACGCGTCGACCTGACAGGCGCCAGAGGCACAATCACCCTGACATTCAACGCCGACACTTGCACTGATTGCGTCACCGCCGCCAGCAGCAGGACGCTCAGCGATGTCCCTCGGATACGTGGCTTCATCGCCACCTTCGGCCGTAGCGCCGCGGGCCCAGCCGGCAGCAGCAGCCACTCCATCTGTCCAGTCGTGTTGAAACTAAAGGCTTCTCAAGCCTTCCTTCCCACTCTACTCACAAACACACATTTCTCACTTCGCGGGCTGACTTGCTTAAGCCTTCGTGTCGCGGTTCACACATGTTTCATGTGTTCTCGTGATTACTCTACACACTCTACTTGGGACTACGTGCACTAGGTTACAAACGAACACCCCGCCTCAGAAAGTTCTTGCGGGTTCCTAGGGTGTTCTTGGAAACTGCTAGGGCTTTCTGTACAGTGCTTTTGCTAGGGACTTTCGTCTCCGTTGTTCTTGGTCTTTTACCTAGCTGCACTCCTGCCCTGTTGCTACTTAGGCCTTCTATGTCTGTACATTGGCCTTCTTGAAAAACCTACTCTGTATATACAGCTACGTTCTAGTTAGGTCCAGCCTATGGACTCTTTGCGGGGAGGCCCGTACCCCGGTTTCTTTCTGCCCTTACGTAGCCTACGGGTTTTTCTTCTTTCGGGCTTCTTTTCTTTGTTCTTGGCTTCTCCGGCTTCTTGCCACTTCTGGCCCTTGTACCTTCCTAGCCTGCCTTTTGTGAAACTTCTTGTGAGACTTTGGAAGGTTGTAGCTTACCTAGGCTTACTGCCCCAGTTTGCTACGTCTATACATTTGCTCACACTTTGTACATGCATTCTTGTGTTAGTATACATCAAGTCTTACGTTGCTTAGCTATGTACATATGTACAAGCGTTCACTGCTTGACCTGCTCGATCATCCCTTCTCGGGATTCTTTCACTGGGTCTGCACCCAGTTCTTGGACTTCTTGCCTTTACCCTTTCCTTTGGGTGTCCACTGGTCCCACTGGTTCTGCTGCGCCCACTCTTCTGGCGATTGCCAGTAGCCTTTGTTGTTCGGGTTCGCGTTCTCGTACCAGTTGCTGCCGTCGTCGTTGGTGTTCCAGTTCTCGTTGTTCCACTGGTCGTTGTACCACCAACCGTCGTTCTGTCCGTCGTCCCAGGAAGGGCCTTTTCCCTTGCTTCCTGTGTTGTCGTTCTTGCCCTTCACGCCGATGCGTCGCTGCACCTCTTCCTCGATCTTCTCGTTCTCCTTGGTCTCGAGGAATTTATCCAATTCCTTTCCGTCTGTAAACCAAATGTTGTGTTTTCTGTAGCACTCCGTCACCTTGTTCCACAGGAGGCGGAGCGTTCTTGATTCTCGTGCTTCCTTTCTTGTCCTCGCACTTCGCGCGGTACTCCTGCGTCTTCTTGTTGAACTCCCACACGTAGCCAAGCTGCGTGAACTCGGCTATGTCGTTCGGGTCGACGGTAGTTTCGTCTCCTTGGTTGCTTGACGGCTTCTCTTCTTGGTCTTCTGTCTCTACCTGCTTTGGCCTTTTTCCTTTCTTCTTCTCTTCCTCTTTTGCTTGCGCTTCTTTCCTCTCTTTCTCTTCTTCTGCTTTGCTCTTGTACGCTTCTTCTGTCTCTTCTTCACCTTCGCTTCCAGACAGGGCTGCACCTATGGTTTCCTTGAGGCTTTTGACCTTCTTCTTGTACTTCACGATCTTGTCCTTGAGGCTCTTGTAGTCGTACTGGAGGTCGTCGAGCTTCTGGTTCCTTACTTTCTCTTCTTGCTTTAGCACTTTAAGCTCTCTCTCCAAGTCCTTCTTTGCGTCGTCAACGTACTTCTTGGCGTACTCTTCTCTCTCCTGGTCGTAGCCGGCGGTTCTTTCCTGGGCTTTTCTCTCTCTCTTCTCTGCCTCTTTCTTCTTCTTTTCAACCTCTGCTTCCTTTGCTTTGACGTTCTCCTCAGCTTCTTCGAGGGCTGTCTCCTTCTCGCTTAAGACCTTGGCTTGTTCTTGGAGGGTCTCTTGGTCTTTCTCTAACTTCTCTTCTCTTTCTGTAACTTTGTCTTCCTTTTCCTTCACCTCCTTCTGCTTCTTCAAAAACCTTTTCACTGTCTCCTCAAACTCTGACTTTTGGTTTCCGAACTCCTCCTTTTCCTTCTCCAGGCTTTCCTCAACCTTCTTCAACTTCTCTGCTCTCTCTGTCACTTCTTTCTTTGCCTCGTCGAAGGAGTCCACGTCGTAGTTCACCTGAGCGGCAGGAGCTTCGTCTTTCTTCTTCCTTCGGTTCTTCTTCTTCTTCTCCTTCTCTCCACTTCTGCTTCCTGAGCTGCTTTCCTCTTCTTCACCGCTGCTCCTCTCTTCTCTCTTCGGCTTCTTGTGCTGCTGTGGCTTTCTCATCTCGTTCACGACAAACCATGCCGCCATGCACACCATGGCGAGCGTCACCAGGACTTCCAGAAGCGACATGCTTCCAGGACTGCTTGGGACTTCTTGTGGGCTTGCTACTTCTTGAGCTGCGGCGAAAGGTACGTTGGCTGCCTCAGTCTTTCCAAACAAACTCGAAAGTGCAAACAACATGCTGCTTTTGTTCTTCATGATCTTCTCGAGTCTTCTCACCACTTGTGCCTTTTCTTCTTCCTCTCGCTCTTGCTCTCCAACTCTTCCTTCGCTGTTGCACATGCCGATCATGTTCAGGAGAAACTTCACTCTTTTCGTGCTGAGAGGCTTTGTTCCTAGGTCTGCTGTGTTCTCCTTTGTACCGACTGCGTGTACAGTAAGCTTGCCTTCGCGTATTGCTGCTTGTAGCCAAAGTAACCGAATCTGCAAATGCTTGACTCTTCCTGTTCCTTGGCGGTTTGTGATTCCGCGGCATGCGGAACTGTCTGTGTATGCTTTGAGTAGTACTCGTTCTCCTGTAAGGAAACGAACTGCTGCGTGTAAACCTATTCCTTCGCTTGCTGCTCCAGTAAGTGCCATGTATTCTGCTTCTGCTGAAGATAATGCTATTGACTTCTGTGTCCTGCTGTAGCTGTAGAAATATGCACCGTCCAGGTAGAACATGGCGCAACTCACTGACTTCCTATAGTCTGCTTGTCTCCGGCCCAGTCGGAGTCGCTAAAAACTTCGAGCAAACGTTCGCGTGGTTGTTCTCGAGGTTCTTGTAGTTCTTGTGGTTCTTCGGCGCGGTGACGTAGAGCTGACGTTCCTGGGCTGTTCCTGTGGTACGTAACGGCGTAGTCTGACGTTCCTTTGAGGTAGAGCGCCAAGTGCTCCAACTCCTTTCTTTTGCGTTCCGCTGGCTTCGTCATGGCAGTACTGAGGCTACGTACTGCGAACTGAATGTCCGGACGGTCGTGCGCTACGTACAGCAAAATGCCGACACAACTTCTGTACGTTCTCGAGTGTTCCTCGTCCAGTTCTTGGGATACGTCAGGTTCCTGACTAGCCGGTGTGCAGGGTGAGTTCTTGGCCTTCTTCTTCTCCAGCTTGAGGATCTCCACGAGTTTCTTCACGTACTTGCTATCGCTATGTACTCGTAGTTCATGTTGTTCGTACGTGTACTTCCTTTTGAGAAACTTCACGGTCTCCTCAGAAAATCCTTTCTCGTAGTCTTCCTCGTTCAGAAGAGGTCCTTCAACTTGTAGGTTCACTTTCTTCTTGAGGTTCTTGAGGACTGGTTCGATGACTTCCTTCTTTCCTGCAAACTGCAAGTCATCTACATGCACAATGCAAACTGCAACCACTTTTCCTTGTCGTAGAAGACGGTAAAGTGCTGGAACTGCTGTGCAACGCTCAAACTTCTCTTCCACCAAAAGACCATCACAAAAGTCTGACCAAAGACTGGATGCGTCGCGTTGACCTGGCAAAACTCTTCCTAACTTCCAACACCAAGTTCCAGGGTTGCGTTCTTGTTGTTCCTGCATTGCTTGTACGACGTGAGCTGCTTCTTCAGGTACTCGACACAAACAAGGTGTTCTTTGAGGGACTTGTAAAAACGCGTCCTTCACGTCGACACTGTAGATCGCCCAATGGTTGGCGAGAGCCAGCATGGGCACCAGTTTTGTAATTCCTGGGCTTGTCGCAGGAGAAAATACATCTTCCCTTTTTCCTTCTGTCTTGTATTCTCTGGCTACTAGTCTGGCACGTCGTTGCCAGCATCTTTGAATCTGCTTGGGCTTTGTTGTTCCTTCTTTGGCTTCTTCAGCTTCAAAACCTGTAGCTTCTCTGAACCTCCAATCTTTCACCAACTTCGTTGTCAACCACTTGTGAAGTTCTTGTTCTGAGTCTACCAGAGGTACGTTCTCAGTTGCTTCCTGAGGGTCCGTAGAAACCAACGAAATAACTCCCATCTTTGTTAACCTCTTGATTTCCTTGACTGTAGCTTCATCATCCAACTTCTGAAGAAAAGCCGGATCCACGTTCGGTGGTCCTTTCTCCTCGTCGAAGAACTCGACAGGGACCTTGGTAGAAACTTCCGTTGGTTCACTCTCTGTATCCTCTTCTTCTTCTTCCGACTCGTACACAAGCTCATCATCTGCTTCGTAGACTTCATCATCATGAGGCATGTTGAGGTAACCGTCTGTTTCCTCTGCTCTGTTGACCTGCTTTCGTAGCTTGCTGGGTGAGCTTGGTTCCTCAGGCTCAAGGCTGTGCTTGCTTGCTTCTGCTCTTGGTTCAGCTGGTGCTGAAAGTGCTTCTGCTGAGGCTGTAAGTGGCTCAACTGCTCTGAGTTCCTCCAAAAGGGTATCGTCATCAACTTCAGCTCTTCTTTTTCTGTCTCTCGTCACACTCATGCTGCTGGCTTCGCTTTGTTCCTCTCTGTCTTCAAGTGCTCGCTGCTGCTCTTCACTGCTGTCCTCCGAACTCGGAGGGTCGCTAGCGGCCTCGTCATTCTCGAGCTGTTCGCGTTCTTCCTCGGCAACAGGGGGCAGGATGCTTAGCTGTGGTCGTTGTCTTTGCTTCTTCTCTGGAAGTACTCTTGCTCCAAGGAGTGGTGTGTTGAGGTTCCAGGTATGGACCTCTATGCTGCTTGTTCTTTTGGAGTCGTACTGTTCTGGTAGTGGTCTCACGCTGCGTGTGATATGTATGCCATCAGGCTGTGCAACGATCCATGTGTCTTGCTCTGTCTTGCCTAAAAATATTCCTGCGTTCCATATCCTGTCACCTTTCTTCTTGATCTTCAACCTCTTCGCCATCACAACAGTACCAAAGGGTACAAGTTTCCCTGAGTAGGGGTATCCGTGGATAACTTCCTGTGGCGTTCTTCCTGTGGAGCTGCTCACTGCGAACCTGTTGAGTAGCCAGCAGGCGTGTCTAAACGCCCAGCTTACTACTGCGTGCTCGTGTGGTATTGCCAGCTGTGTTCTTTCTCTGAGTTCATCGAGAATGGTGTTCGCTTGCCTCCGTACTGTTTGTATTGCTCTTTCTGCGGCTCCATTGCTTTCGTGGTCGTAAGGAATGCTTTCCTGTAGTGTTGTAGAAAGTCCAAGGCTGCTGCGTACTTTCTGTACTTTGTCCTTGAGTGCTTTGGCTGCGTTCTCGTTGTCTGCCTTGAGAACGAGGGTGTTGTACCCGAGCTGCGTGGTGAACTGCACGAGTGCTTCCGCGAGATGCGTCGTGCTTCCTGCACCTCCTTTCCTCTTGCAGGGCACCGCAAGAACTGCCTTGCTCCAGCTGTCCACAGCAACAAGAGTCACTGCTGGTGGCTCTTCACTTCCTGTGGTGCTTGTATAGCAAAAGTCAAAACTGATGACGGGCTTCGCGGAATCCGTAGAGCTGCTTGGCTTGCTCAATCCTTTCTTGTGGTTGTCTTCTCGTGCTTTCATAGCAACGCAATGGGGACACCAAGGCTGATACGGAAGGTGCGTCAAGTTGTGGTACGCTCTCTCCTCTTCCGTTGGTTCCTGCGGTGGTGCTAGGTGGTATGCTTGGTGGTGTTCCCGTTGTTCCTTGTGTTGCGTGCTGAGCCTTTCTTCTCTGACTGCTGTGGCTAGTCTCTTCAAGAGCTGCTTCTTGCTTCCTGTTGTCTTCACTCTGTACTCTCTGCAAAGTGCTTGTAGTTCCTTAAGACTGCTTTTCTGCGCTGTGTACTCGACGCCTTCGTGGTAGAAGCTTTCCTCCAAAACTTCAACAACTTCTTGTGGTGCTTCTTGGTCTGCTGGTGCTTCTCTCATCTCTTCGTCTTTACTCTCCTCCGCTTCTGGTGGTGCTGCTGAATCTTCCTTCTCTTTGTAGTGTTCTTCCTTCTTCTTCTTTAGCTCCTCTGCTGCAGCTTCTGCTTTTAGGTCTTCAACAACTCCTGGCTTCACACGGAACCTTGTTTGACCAAACCACGGTAAACGGAAGTGTTCACGTAGAGGTAGACGGTCTGCTCTCCAGTCGTCGCTGTGTTCGTAGATCTCTGTACTGTAGATGCAGTCTCCTTGGGTATACCTGCTGTTCTCGAGATCTCCAAGGAGAACAGGACAGTTGGCAACTCCTGTCGGGTCAAACAGCACAGTTCTTGGTACTACGTGGTGACGAACAACTTCTCCCTTCTCGAGGTCCATTTTCCAGTAGTCACGACCATGACTTTCTTGGTCTGCTCGATCTCCAGCTGCGTAAGGGGTGCCAAGGATCCAAAGTGGAATTGGCTTTGCTGAAATGGCTGTAACCACTTCCTTTTCTCCTTCTGCAAACTCTTCAAAAGGGTCTGCCTTCTCGGAGTACTTTCTTGAAACTTCAACTGCTCTCCATCCTCTCTCTTCTTTCACCAAAGTGCTTCTGTACGGAAAGTGCGTAGGGCTATACATGAGAGATGGGTTCTCATAGCTGCTTTGAGTGGCGTACTTCACAATCACCATGCTGTCTGTGTTGTGCCAACCAGGTTCTTCTCTGTTCACTGCTTCCTGAACGTGCTTGTTGAGCTGAACAACTGCGCGAACCATCTTGTAGTTGTTGCTGCTGTAACTTCTGCTTCTTGAAGGAGTTTGTACGTAGGCGTAGGCTGCCAAGCTGTTCTTGTGGAGATGCACTGGTATTCTTGAGCTTCCATCTGTAAGACACATACCTTCTTCTTCGTTCACTCGCAACTCCCAGCCTTCTCGAAACAGCTTGCCTATGGCCATCAGCGGGTTGATCACCGAGGCAACGGTGAAGGCTTCCTGGATGCGACAAAAGCTTCCGTCGTAATCAAAGAACGTTAAGTTCAGCATCCTTCTGCCTTCCGTCTTTATTGCCTTTCCTTGTGCGTCCTGAATGGACGAAGGGCGAACCTTCAAAGGGGTTCCTTCTTTTCCTAGCCAAGAGGGCACAAGAGAAACGTCTGCGCCAGAATCCAGGATAACTTCGATTCTTTGGTGAAGATCACTTTCCTGGAAAAACTCTTCCTCTACAACGCGTACTGAGAGAACTTCTTGTGGCGGTAGTGCTTCACGTCCAAGGTACCAGTTTAGTAGAGGATCTTCTTGCTCTTCTTCGCTCTCTTCTCCTTCTGACAAAACAAACTCTTCAGCTTCCGTCACTCTCAAGACTCTTCCAAAGTACTCGATCTCGAGCTCTTCTTCGTCTTCGTCAAGTTCAAAAACTTCAGGGTACGTGACGGGATCATTGTCCATGTGGTACATCGCGATCTGCCGAACTGTTGGCTTAGCTGTAGACGTCGCGCTTGTAGTTCTTTTTGTTGTGGCTGCCGAAGCGCTACTGCTTGGAACTGTAGTAGGCTGTGTCCTGACGCTTTGCTCGTCTTCCTCCTGTGCGTTCCTGACGTTCTGCTGCATGTCTCTCTGCTTGAGTCTGCAATTGGCTTCGTAGTGTCCAGGCTTTTGGCAATAATGACAAACACCAATTCCTGGGTTGTTGTAGCCTTTACCTTTTCCTTTGCTGCTGTAGCCTTTTCCCCCGCCTTTGCCATATCCTCGGCCTCTGCCTTTTCCTTTTCCTCGTCCTTTTCCTTTTCCTCGGCCTTTGTAGTAGTACTGGCTTTCTCCTTTTCCTTTTCCTTTGCCGAAGCCTTTGCCTTTGCTGTACTTGCCAAATCCTTTTCCTTTCTTTCCTTTCCCTTTATCTTTTCCTTTGCCTTTATTCCACCATTCCACTCGTGAAACATCCATGTCTGCTTGTCCTTGGTGGTCCTTTCCTGAGTTGATAAGGTCTGTGGTAGTCCACCTTGCTGCTTGCTCGTAGGAGAGGAGGTACTGTCGTAGTGTACCGTACTTTGTGGTCTCTTTCTGGTTGAGTAGAAGATGTTGTCTCATGTTCCCTTCGGTTCCTCCAAGGATGATGGAAATCTTCATGTCATCCGCAACAAGGTCTCCACTCGCTCTCTCGTACTCTTCAATCAACTCCTCAAACTTCAGGATATTTTCTTGTGTTGACCTTTGCTTGTCGAACCTGTAGTGAAGAACTCCGTTAAGTAGTTGTAGAGAACGTGCACGGTTGTGAGGCTGATGTTCCTCCACCAACAACCTCCATGCTTCGAAACCGTTCTCGTTGGGTACTTGCTTTAGAGTTCGTAGAGGACGACCACGTGTATAGCTGGTGAGAATGGAATGTAGCTTTCTTGAGAGTGCTTGTTCACCTGGGTTAAGTTTGCTCCATTCCCATGATGCTTCTCTTCTATCCATCTCGACTGCGTTGATCTTCTCAAGGATGTCGTTGTTGAGAGCGCCTATCCAACTTCTCAGCTTCAACCGAAACTCTAGAAAACCATCACGCTCTTCCTTGTATGTAGCAGGGCCAAAGACTTCTGGAGATTTGATCATCTTGTGGAGGTCGATCTCTCCTGGCCTTCTTGACTCTGCGTGCTGCGACAGTGCTGTAACTGCGTCTGCTGTAAGCTTTCCTGTTGCTGCAACCGCGTTTGCAGTAAGCTCTGCTTGTTGTGACAGTGCTGTGTTGGTTGCTTGGGTTGCTTCCGTAATTGCTCTTTGGTTGTGAAACTGACTGCGCGAGTTCCTGCAGTTGTTGTGAAGCGGTACCTGCCTGCGCTTGCTGACTGTTCATTGCTTGGGCAAGTGCTTGTATCTGTTGTGTGTTTTGGGCAGTAAGGTCCGTGAGCCTTTGCAAGGCTTCCTCCATTGCAACTGCACTCTGCATGTGACTGTAAAGCAACACAACATGCAACCAGACTCGCTTCTTGAAAAGAACGCTGCAAACTGACCTGTGCAACTTCCTTCTCGAAACTTTCTTCTTCAACTGTTCTCTTTTTGTTTGCTTAACTCTGACCCAAAAATAGAGGTAGATCCAAGTGACCATACCAAGCGGGGCCCCAAGTAGAAGTAGTACTGGGTGACACGTGCGCACGACGTAGCTCACGACGGGCTCAAGGCTTCTTCCTGCTTTCGCAAGGTACTCTTGAAACTCCAAAACCAACTCAAACACAAGGTTCTTGTAGTAGTTCACGTGGGGCACTTCTTCGTTCTTTAGGTTCTCGTTATACTCCGCGACATCACCTTCATGAAAACTGTAGTTGCAACTTTGTTCCTTTTCTTCTGTTCTTGTAGAACTCGGAGTACACGTTCGTCTTCTTGAGGCAGCTCGTGACGTTGATCTCGTTCTCGTTCTCGGTTCGGTATTGGGCTCATGTAGATGCGACCACAACGTGAAAAGTTCTGTGTGATCACCTTCTTGGCTCTTCCCGGCAGGTACAACATCCGCTGGGGTAATCTCCTTTATCACATACTTCTTCTTGGGGTTCTTGTTGTCGAGGCTGAGGACCTTGTTCCTGTAGTTCAGCATGCGGTTCGTGGCCAACGGGTAGCCGTAGGTCTCGTTCACTTCAAACACCATGAACCATGACATGCCCATGAGAACCACAACCATGAAGACTTTTAGCCAAAGGTACTTTCCTGCTGCTTCCAGAAAGGTTCTCTTGTACTCGAAGGTGCGTTGTTCTCGGGATCGAAGTCCACCGGGGCAACAGTACTTGCATGGTAGTACTCGGTGTACACTGGTTGCGTTCCTGAGGCCATGACATCTTCCTGAGGTGTGGGTCTTCTCTCCGTAAGGCGAGTACCAGAGTTCTGGTAGCTCTTCCTCAGCCGGAGCAACGCGCTCCACTGTCTCCCTTCTCACAAGTTCTTTCACAAAGCTTCTCGCCAGACACATCAGCGAAAAAGCCAAAGCCAAGGAAACCATGGCGACAGCTACCTGTTGTTCCTGTGATAGCTTCATCGCTCCCAAGAGGTCTGAATCAGGGAGCTCCGCTACCATGTTGAAACTAAAGGCTTCTCAAGCCTTCCTTCCCACTCTACTCACAAACACACATTTCTCACTTCGCGGGCTGACTTGCTTAAGCCTTCGTGTCGCGGTTCACACACATGTTTCATGTGTTCTCGTGACTACTCTACACACTCTACTTGGGACTACGTGCACTAGGTTACAAACGAACAAGTCGGTGACCTTACTGCCACCTGCCGCCGCGTCACAAGCACTGATTGCTGCAGCCGCTGCCTCACAAGCGCTGATTGCACCGCCGCAGCAAGAAGCCGCCGCCTCACACGCGCTGATTGCTTCGTCCGGCACACCTGCCAACCCAAGCAGGACACCGAACTCGCCCTCACAAAACCATGGCATGCTTGGACCAACACCAATGGCCAACATGCGTCGTTGAGCCGCCCGTGCACCGACAAAGTTGGCAGCACGTTTAGCCACTATGAAGCCTACCAAAGAGGTGATGGCTTTCATCACATTTGCATCACCAGCGCCACCATGCGCTTCGGATGCACCCCGGTCGCCGCTTCCCAAGCAGCGTCGATTCTTTGGATTGCGCCTCGCCCCAAGGGAAAGGACTTCACCTTGCTGGCCCTGCCAGCGCCATGGTTCGGAGAGCCCGCAGGCCCACAGCCAAAGGAGTAGTCTCGGGCCGTCGTCGTGGTGTAGATGGGTCTCCATGACCCTGAGTCGTCGCTGAAGTCGAAGTCGCGAGGTGGACGGGCCACCAGAGGAAGGAGCCATTGCCTGCACCCTCCTACACACCAGCAGTGTTTGCCGCCTCTACCCTAGGCGTTGCCCGCTTTGGAGCGCGTGGAGCTACCTGCTGAACCAAAGCTCCTCAGTAGCGCCTCGTTGGACTGGTTGTCGGTGTAGCCGCGGATGGCGACCCGTGAGGTTTTCTTAGCCTCCCCTCGGGGACCCAAAGCTTCACGCCTACCAGGGTGGCTAGCAGTTCTAGCGCGGCGATGACCTTGTTCGGGTCGCCGTAAAGAGCGAAAGCCCAAGGTGCCCATTCCTTCTTCACTTCTAGTGAGAACCAAGGCCCGTGGCAGCCGTCCACTGGCTCCAGAAAGCCGCCTACCCAGGCCCGTCCGTTCTCCGCCTTAGCGTCCGTGTAGAAGGAGAGCGGGGCCGCCCCTTCCAGTAGCGGGGCGTAGCCAGCCACAGAGCACCTGGATCATGGTGGGCAGCGTCAAGTGGCCAGGCTTCCCTTGACCCGGCATGTAGCGGTCGCAGAAAGGGACGTTCCCAGTCTAGCGCCATGGAGGCAAACCCGAGGCGTCCTAGCCCTTGTGCGAAAGGGCGCCCCACATTCTGCGAAAGACCTGCTTCCACGTGGAGTAATTCGTCTCCATGCCTAGCCACAGAACCCGAAGCCCCCCCGCTCGTCTTGGACCACTTGAACGGGTAACCAAGAATAGTGAGGAAGAGGTAACTTAGCGGGATCCCCATGCGGCCCCTAGCCCCCCGGCCCAAGGACTCGAGGTCATCGGCATAGAGTAGCATGTCTTCCTCCGTGTCGATCTGACACCCGAGGTAGCCATGCTCTCTTTCGGCATGCTTGTATATAGCGTTTGTGGGCTTTAGCGATGTCCCCCACCACGGAGACGGCCACCTCGTTAGCCTCAATGTGTTCCCGAAGCAGTAGCTGCTTCTTCTCCCTAGCGCCCGGGGCCCGGATCTTGAACCGGACCCCGCAGGAACCGTCGTGGATCATCCTCTTCTTCCCTAGCCTCGTCCTCGACAATGACAGCTAGCGCGGCGATGGCCCGGTGCTCGCCATAGCGGGCCTTAAACTCGCCCAGCCCAGGGACATCTTGTCTTAGCCATGAGCCCTTCACCCGCCACCTCCCTCAACACCTCCTGGGAGTACGTAGCAAGCCGAGCTTTAGCTAACTGGCTTCACACAGTAGCACGGACAACACGAACTTCTCTCTTTTTAGCGTTGCGGCGAAGTCCCGCGTTAGCCCGGGGAAGAACTCTAGCCTTAGGGTGGGTT